GTGTCTTCTTGAGTTTCTGTACAATGGAAGCTTGGGTGAGGAAAAATTGGAGAAACATGTGTACGCGCTGTCACAAGCAGCGGATAAGTACGTGATCCCACATTTGCTGAAACACTGCGAACGGTACCTGCTGAGTTCGCTAAGCACTTGCAATGCCCTTGAGACACTGGAGATTGCGGACATTTGTTCCAACCAGAAGTTGAAGGAGACAACCTTGGATTTCTTGGTTAAGAACATTGACCGTGTTGTGTCATCACCTAAATTTGAAGCTTTTGTTCACAGGAGCCCACACCTCACCGTGCAACTAGTTACAATGGCCTTTGCCAATGCTGCTAAATAATCAATTTCTCTCCTAGTTTAAGAGCTACCAATGCTTTATTTTTTCAATTTAGTAATTTATTTATTGCTCAACCCTATAAACCATATCTCTTAGCAGATTACTATAATTCATGAGTTTCTTCTCATCAATTTAAAGCAGCTCTCGCATTTACTTTTTTAAGTGAATAATATATAATTTTTTTTATATTATATTATCTTTTTCTTCCAAAAAAATATATCATAACAAATTATCGTTATCATATATGGTGAATTATTAAATTTTATGATAATTTCTTATTGATTGACAGCGTAACTTTTTTAACAATGAGTATTTTTTTTAGTTTGCCTTTCATGTTTCCGTAATTGAGAAAATCACACGCCAATAAAAAGAAGGCAATCAAACACAGAAAAAGAATATCGATATATTATTTTTAATTTTAAAAACAATAAACAAGGCAGGTTACTTGAATTGAATTCGTCTCGCTAATAATGCATGCCTAACTTCTTTGGGTGTTGCTCTCTCCACCCCCACACGTCTCTTCCTCCACCTCCCCTTTACTATTTTGCCCCTTCCTCCACCTTTCCTTTACTATTTTGCCCCTCAGTAAAATTTTATTTTTAAAATTGTTGTTTTTTAATTTTATTCATTTATAACATATTTCACTGATAACCTACGTAGTTTCTTGTATGAGTAAAATATTTTTCTACAAAGCTTGGTGATCGTGAAAAGAATTATCAAACAATCTTCTTCTTGTTCTCGGTGCAGTACGTGGTGCAGTGCGTTTATGGTGTAGTGTCCTTGTCGTGGTTCCTCTCCAGGTACGTAGTCATAATCCTTCCAATAATCCTAAACCCTAAATCCTTCCCATACTTCCAATAATCCTTTTAATATCCAAGCCTATAATCCTTGCATGAGCCGCAAAACGTAGTAAAATAAAAACGAAACGTAAAAGGAACACTGCCTATGGACGGATGACATCCTTCAACGGATGTCAACATCCGTTTAAGGATGTCATCCGTCCAGAGGCAGTGTTCCTTTTACGTTTCGTTTTTATTTTATTTGTTTATTTTATTTACAGTAATTTATATTTAAATTTATAATTTTAAATGTTATATATGGTTAGTTTTTAAACGTAATAATTTTGTTAAAATATGAATTTGTTAAAATATGAATTTGTTATAGGTGGAGAAGAAGCTTAACGGAAGAGAGAAAGGTAAACGAAAATGGAAGAGAGGAAGAGGTACAGAGGGAAGTAAATAAGAAGTTTTAAATAAATTAAAATATTAAAATAATAAAAATAAAAAATTTTAACTTTTGAGGATATAATTGTCATTTTAGAAGGATATAATTGGCATTTTAGAAAATTGGGGAGGTGGAGGAAGAGACGTGTGGGGGTGGAGGGAGTAACACCCAACTTCTTTTTTATTCCATTTTTGTAAGTTATAAATCTTATTCTGTTTGGTGTGTCCAGTGGCCTCATTTAAGAAGGACAGCTTCTTTCTGCACCTCCCTTTTTTCTTCCTGCATCCCATAGACATGAGGAAATCCCAATTGTACCCTCTTCTTTCCATGTCACTAGCCGGCTGCACCTCTTTCGGTCTCTGCACCTCCAACCACGGCGCATCTCCAACCGTGACGCACCTCCAGAATTTTTTTATAATTTTAATGAAGAGTGACTTGGATTTTAGATTTTAGGGCTGAAGAAAGAAAAACGGGAGGCGCAGAAAGAAACACCCTTTAACAATATCTGACTCAACCAGTATTAAGCTCTCCAAAGCAATCTGGACTTTGGTTTTTGTCGTATTTGAATATATTCTACTTTTTGTAAAATTAGTACATTTTTATTTTATTTTCTGTAATTCTTTTTATAAAATTTCGATTAAAATTTTATATGTAAATTTTATTTTAATTATTTTAAAATATATTTTTTGTTTATTTTTATTCTTTCAAAATTTTATATCACTATTTTTAATTTTTAATATTAATTTTAAGATAAAGGGGTAATATTTAAACTTTATAAGTTTAAATTTTTTAAATGATTCATGCTGATATTATATTATTATTTATCAGATAAATTGATCATTTAATCTTTTATTTAACACGTACATATAATACAAGAAGTAAAAATAACATTCCTCAATTTAGAGAAAATAAGAACAATTTTATTCAATAAAAACCAAAATAAAAACTATCTAATTCTGTAAGAATTAAAGATGTGCAGTATGCTTTCCCAGCACCACCAGGCTGAGCGGTTGACAACCAGATCGACCATCAAACTAAGCGACCGACCACCAAGCCGACCATCCAGGTCGACCACCCAGACCAAACATATGGTTTGATTATAAACAATAATAACTCATTAAGTCCCTAAAGCAAATTAATGTATGATTGGTCCGTCATTAGGCCAACAAAAGGTAGAGGTTCATCACGACTAGTATAAATAAGGTCTTAGGTATGACTTTGATATCACAATGCACAATATACCTGCATTACTTGTTTTGCCAACCGCTCGGTTACTTTACTAACTTAAGCATCGGAGGTATCCGTCCACACAGTTTGGACAAGAAGGAGGGAGAACGAACACGGTAACTTGGAGGAAGGAGGACCATCAGGGAGCCCGTCGAGCCTACGTGTCAAATGGACGACCACTAAGGAGTCCATCCATCCTACTTGTCAATTGAACGACCACTAGGGAGCCCGTTTGGCCTACCTATCAACTGAAAGACCACTAGGTAGTTCGTCTAACCTTTGAGACAAATTGGAATACTTTGAGTATGGAGTTCAACCCTATCCCTAAAACAAAAGACATGTTAAATTTTGATTTTTTTAATCGAATAACACATAACCTTTTTTTCTTTTCATTTTCATTCCCTTTCAATCTCTTTCTTAAACTAAGTGAGAGCCATGCAAAGTGTGTTTATATGATTTATAACATGGCCGTGTTACATCTAAGTTGGTAAACACCAAGATAATACCATCAGCAAATTAGATGTGAACTTCTGTTGAAGAAGACATAATCAAGCGTGCATGCATGCAATAATAAACATACTCTTGTGATTTTTATAACCTTTGATGTTTCCTTTGTAAAGCAATTGTTAAATAAAAGATGAGAAAAGCTTAGAAAATGATTTTCACTGATGAACCCTTACAAATTGGATGTCAGATTTGAAGGACAAGACACAATCAATCTACGAATGGAGGACATGGATTTTGTCAGGAGCTTTGTTGCTGGATTTAGCATTTAGTGAAGAATTCCCACTCATATAACAGTCAGTACTGCCAGCAACTGCACAAAAATGCTGCATTGACATGATCGTTCTACCCTGTAACATTGCATGTGATAAGGTCCTACCCTTTATTTTATCATAAATTTATTATCTCAATATAATAAGTTTCAACCTAATGCCACCCCATACATTAGTTTGATTTGTCAAGTAAGAATTTCGTTTACATATTTAATTGAAAAATAATATGATATAATGGTAGTTAATGATTCTAAGATAAAACATGATGTCAGATGACAGTCAATATATATAATGTTTTCTGTTTAGATTGATGGAACTATGTGATACTTATTCAGTCAAATTTTATGTTGATAAATCAACTTTAAAGCACATAAAATTTTGAGGGTAAAATCTTCCATAGTTTCAAAAAATGCTTGTCAGATAATATCTTTAACATTCTTCTTCGAACACTTTTTTTATTAGGTTAAATTAATTTACTGGAACCTACTGATTAAGATGAGAAGATAATTATTAAATAGGAAATTCGATGTATAAAAATTAATAATTTTTATTCCATTTTAATCAATAATAAAGAGAATGTTTGAAAAAGATTCTTTTCAAAAGAGAATATTGCCAAGAACTATCAAATTGACTGCACTTGTACCCTAGTTTCTAATATTTTTTCTCCTTTAAAAGGCAAGCACATCTTTTTTTCTTTGTCATGGGTGGTATGAATTAACATTTGATAGCAAACTTAATAATTCAAATTAACATTTGATAGCACTATTTCTTTTATTTAACTATAAAATACTATATAAGGCCATCAGATTCAACATTATACAAACTTTTAAATGGTTCTATTAACAGAAGGGTCAACAAGATGGATGTGATAAAAAATTTAAGACTTTTTACTATTTTCAAGCACTTGAAAGACTGAATAGAATTTTTTTATCAGCAAAAAATAGAAAATACAATGATATTTCGAAATTAAATTAATGATCTATTTTTTTTTCCTTTATGATTTTTTTTGCTGAGAAGATGTACCAGTACGTATTAAGATCATGTACTAAGTATAAGTCGTCGTTTATGCTTAAAGTATTGTTTGAAAAAGCATTATTTGCATGGTGCAAACTTGTGTCAATTGAGTGTGTGCTTCAAGGTCACTTCTTTCCAGTTTTGTAGTACTTCATTCGTTTTATCCCTCAAAAGTGGGGACAACATTTTCTTATTGTTTATGTACTGTGTCGTTTCACGTTTATTTGTGTAACTGGATCATATGTTCAACCGTACCACTCTTGACCCGAAAATTTTGTTTGTTACACAGAAAAACTCTTGTGCACGATTTCAAGTAAGAAACTCTTGAAGTTGTGAAACACTAACATACACTCACATAAACATGTAAAAATTTAGATATTTCAAAGAATCTTCTACAAATATGCATCATATATAGAAGCTCGATTGATTTCTCTTGACCAACAAAACTTCAAGTTAGGTCTAATGGAAGAACATGCTTAAAATAAACGAAGAAAATGCACACAGAAGATATAAATAACATAAATGTAAAAGCTGACATTTTATTACTTTTGGTCAGCATTTTGGCTCCAATTCTTTATTGCTTGTCCCATAGCCTGTTTCACAGCTCGTGCATCAATATTCTTACCTTCTTCTTCGTTCTGCACAAGCACAAGTCACAATATTATTTGTCATTATTATATGCAAGAAAACATAGAGAGAATGAGACAAATTCTGTTTGGAAGAAAACATTTTAGTAACTTCAAAATTATAACCTAACAAGCTTCTGCTTGTATTATTAACCAAGTAATTAAATAAATATAACATGGTTATAATGCAAACATTTTAATCACAGTAACGTGGTCCTTCATCTTTTTGAAGAAAAGGATGACAGAGAGACCAACAGGTAGAAGAGGCAATCTTATATGTATAAAGACAAGGCATGTGACCTACAAAAATATGGAGTAACAAGAGGAAAAGGGAGACACTGAATGATATATAATGAACTTGGCCTTGAAAACATCTATGGTATAAATTTATGCTTACAAAATATTGTCTTACTTTTCCTCCAACAGCATGAAATCGAAAAGTGTCTGTACAAGTAGCCCTAGCTTCAAGCACATTCAGACTCATCTCTTCAAATGACTCCAATATGGAAACAAACAGACCAGGACAACTCTTTGCTGAAAAAACATTAATAACAAAGCCCTTCTCCGTGGTTTCTACTGTAACCTGTTTATGTTCATCCAGAAAATGCAATTCCAATCAGTTCTTTTTACAGATTAAGAAGAAGAACTGTCCAAATGAACACATACATATATGTGAAAGCTGTTAAATACCATAGGCAAAGTATTTTGGTCAGTTGAAGTTTGTGCATTGGCTAAGTCTTGATTCAGTTCTTCCACCTTTTGCTTTAATTCCTGGATATACTTTGACGCATCTATTATGATCGAGGTTTTGTTTAGCTGCCACCACCCAGCAAAAGAACAAGAACTATTAGGCAATTTATTACCATCTCAAAGAGCACCATGTAATTGATAACATAAATGCTTAAGGACTGTATAATATTACAACAATATATTTAACAATCTCCATTTGTAATAAGCTTGCGCCTCAATTTTCTACTGGAAATAATGACAATATACATGCAATACATAGAAAACAATCCAGATAGCAAGAACTGTTTAGAAGATTAGGCATATATAGAGCTGAGCAGAATCCATGGCATTAGAATAGAGAACGAATGGACTTGAACTGAAGGGAAGACAACAACGTTGAGTAAATTTTAACAGAGAAAATAAGATAAAATGAAAGATATAGATAACAATGCAAGGAATTACTGCATGAGAGTTAGTAAGAGAACGAAGAAGTTGCAGCTTCTCATGCAGTGCTGCTCTCTTTTGCTCTTTAGAAACCATTTGGTGCTCCCTTTTTCCTCTATAAAGTGATTGTTTTGCTTTGGTTTTCTCCTTTTTCTTACGCTTTGTTTTGGTATGCAATGAACTATATGCTGATAGAGCTCTACATAGGGTCTTTTAAAAGAGAGGGTGGGCTCTCAAATCTATGTGACGTTCTGCTAGATTATTCTCACCGAACTTCCAGAAATACCCTTTTGCTAAGAATTGATTTATTTACGTAATGATTTTAGAGGTGAATATAGATATATTTTGAATTTGAGGAGATATGTGTAAAATGAATGTGTAGATGTGATTGAGTTGTGAGTGGAGAAGGGGAGAAGAGGAGAAAGATGGCATCGAAAGAAGTGAAGGAGAAGGAACAAAATGAGAGGGTGGATGCTACGTTATGAATTTGGAATGCATCCAAACACTTCTCACGGGGAAGTTTAAAGGGTTCTCCTCCTGTGCGATCTCTCTTCAATCACCAGCAATCAAACTTTGTCTCTTTTTCATTCTCTCTCCACACGAGCCATCCTACCTTTCTTTTCATACAACACATTCTTTTGTTTTCCTTTCCTTCATGACAGTGAAGTTTAGATCATACTATTCATTTCCAGATCAGTTCGATCAATTTTACCCAAATAAATATAATCAGTATGTTTTCGTTCTATCTAAATTAAAATATACCACTTCTTTTTGCCCTTTTTTCTTGGTTTCCATCCTATGTTATTCACTTACAATAAATGTCACATGTCACGTACATAGACTTTGGTCCTGTATCATATCATCGTTTGATAAATCGTTAATCATTGGTCAAACTTATTCTTGGATGACCCTTTTAGACCGTGCAACTAGGAGATAAGACTAAACAGTTAGTTTCCAAGAAACCTAACGTTTAGCTACTTTAGATAAATTGTGATTAATAGTAATTAGGTCATTGCTAATTAAAGATCTATTCCGAAATCTATAAATAGGTAAGAAAGTAATGATTACATTTATTACACATTTAATATCTGAATTATCAAACTTGAACAGACTTTGGTATGGAACATCTTTTGGGGTGTGCTTTCCGCACTTTGGTATGAAACAATATAGGACGAAGGACTACTAAGAATTAGAAAAAAAGAAAAGTAGTGGGATCATTTGGACTATCACATTAAAATTGGATGTTGACCTTAATCCTACACTTCATATAGCCTCTTCACATGATTCAGATGGGTTAGGGTTAGAAAAAATCATAAAATCAATAAGTTCTCGATTGAAAAAGTTCATTGCGCCAAAATATCCACAAAAGTCATATGGGTGAGAATTAGCTCATGAGTTTTTTTTAGAAAACAAAATATTCATTTTAAAAATAAAAAAAATCAATTAAATCTTAACCTATAATAAATATAAATACTTTTAATTTGTCAAATAACTATATACATGTATTTTAATCAAAGATTTTGAAATCTTTGTTGAATAAACATATTCAATTTTTTGTGACTAATTAAACATACTTTTAAAATATATAAAATAATCATTTAATTTTCTTGTGTGAAAAACTTATTTAAATATGAATAAAAATTTAATAAGATATCTCAATTTGAAATTTTAAAATAATGAATTTATGAATTTTTTTATTATATGTTATTTTTTTTAATGTATGACTTAAATTTATATTTTTCTATCCATTTTTTTTAATAATATATATGTATAATAAATATATATTTAGTAATAATAAATAAATTTTAATGTGAATTTTATTAGAATTAATATAATATTATCACATTTAATAAATACATTATAGTAATAGATTATAGTCAATAACTATATTAAATTATATATTATATATTTTATATGATAACATAATAATAAATATAATATAAAAATATTAGTTTAAATATAATAAAATTATAATATATTAAGTTATTTAATAAAATACATAATTTTATACGTTTACATAAATAATATTATTTTTAAGAGTTAATTAAAGTATATAGTAAAATCAAACTCACTTTAACATTAACTTTAAAGACTATGACTTATTTTTAATCCCTAAGAGGATTTCCCTTAAAAGGAATTTTTTAAAGATTGACGAATGGTAACCAATAAATCACTTATCGAGATTTTTTTAAAGATTAGTTAACCTAAAGATGACAATTCTAATTATAGGATATTATTTATATCTAGTGATTTTTTTGGATAATATTTTTAATAAAAGAAACATGAATTATACATTGAAGTGTTAAGAAAAAGGAGGTATAGATTAAAGTTTGCACAGGTGTTTTCCGTAATTAAAATATATTTTTTTACTCTTTTCACCTTATGGATAGGTAACTTTTGTTTTCATCCATTTAAAAGATAAAAAATGTTGGAATTTTGAGAAATATATAGTCATTTCTCCTTCCTCGAATAGAGTGCTGGCTAAAATTACTAACTCGTCTCAAGTCCCTCTTGTTGGGCCTAACAATAGGCCATTTAATTTAGAATCCCATTTGGATAACACATTTAGTTCGGATTCTGTAATGCAGTTTTTTTTCATATGAGCAGGTAGATTTGTCTATAAATTACATAAAAAAAAATAATAAAAGGTAGAGGGGTGTTGCTCCCTCCACCCCCACACATCTCTTCCTCCACCTCCCCTTTACTATTTTGCCCCTTCCTCCACCTTTCATTTACTATTTTGCCCCTCAGTAAAATTTTATTTTTAAAATTGTTGCTTTTTAATTTTATTCATTTATAACATATTTCACTGATAACCTACGTAGTTTCTTGTATGAGTAAAATATTTTTCTACAAAGCTTGGTGATCGTGAAAAGAATTATCAAACAATCTTCTTCTTGTTCTCGGTGCAGTACGTGGTGCAGTGCGTTTATGGTGTAGTGTCCTTGTCGTGGTTCCTCTCCAGGTACGTAGTCATAATCCTTCCAATAATCCTAAACCCTAAATCCTTCCCATACTTCCAATAATCCTTTTAATATCCAAGCCTATAATCCTTGCATGAGCCGCAAAACGTAGTAAAATAAAAACGAAACGTAAAAGGAACACTGCCTATGGACGGATGACATCCTTCAACGGATGTCAACATCCATGCAAAACGATGTCACAATCCGTTTAAGGGCAAAACGATGTCGCATCCGTTTAAATGCAAAACGGATGTCACATCCGTTTTTTGCCTTCAACGATGTTGACATCCGTTGAAGGATGTCATCCTCCAGAGGGCAGTGTTCCTTTTACGTTTCGTTTTATTTTATTTTGTTTTTTTTTTCCCCCCCGTCCTTTCTCTTTCCCTTTCCTCCTTTTCCCTGTTCTCTCTGTTCGTTTTCCCGTCTCCTTTTGGTTCCCCTCTGCCCTTTGTTCCCCTCTGCCTTTGTTTATCCTCGAATCTTGTTACTAGGTGGACGACGAACGCTTACGCGGAGAGGCCCGTGTACCAAGCCCTGGAGAGGGACGAGGTGCAGCGGAAGGTAAATCAGAAGTTTTAAATAATTAAAATATTAAAATAATAAAATAAAAAATTTTAACTTTTGAGGATATAATGTGTCATGTTTAGAAGGATATAATTGGCATTTTAGAAAATTAGGGAGGTGGAGGAGGAAGAGACGTGTGGGGGTGGAGGGGAGTAACACCCCAAGTTAGTAGTCATATAATTCTTGGACGGTTTCATTTTGGGTTTACTCCTACACCACCCACTTTACTTCCTGCACCAACAATTTTTTTAAATGCCAAAACTACCTTTATATTTTAAAATATCCCACACCCCCACCCTTTTCTTCACGGATGTTCAACATCCGTTGAAGAAAAAATTCTTCCACGGACATGCTACATCCGTTAACGGATGTGGCGACATCCGTTGCCCTTTTTTGTTTTTTAGTTTTCGTTTTGTATTTTTTTTGTTTTAAATTAATATATAAATATAATTTAATTATTTTAAAATTATTACTTAATTATTTATAAATTAATTTTATTTTATTTAATAAAATAATTATTATTACTTTTAATTTATGTATTATTATTTAAATAATAATTAAAAAATTTGTTATAAATATATTAAAACGGACGTCGCCACATCCGTTAACGGATGTGGCGACATCCGTTTCCTTTTTTTGTTTTTTAATTTTTAGTTTTTTAATTTTTTATATTTTAAATTAATATATAAATATTATTTAATTTTTTAAAAATTATTATTTAATTATTTATAAATTAATTTTATTTTATTTAATAAAATAATAATTATTATTTTAATTTATATATTATTATTTAAATAATAAATTAAAAACTTTTTAAAAATCTATTAAACGGATGTGGTACATCCGTTAACGGATGTGGCCACATCCGTTGAAGTTTTTTTCTTTTAAATAAAAATAATAAACTAAAATATGAAATATGTAAATGGATGTTACGGATGTCAACATCCGTTGAAGGTGAAACGGATGTTGACATCCGTTTTATAGAGGGGCAAATAAGGTATGGGGAGGTGCAGGGAGCGGTTGGTGGTGGTGCAGGGAGCAACTCTCTTCATTTTTTGTTTTTTTATTTGTCTATTTACGTAATTTATGAGTAAATCTACGTCCCTTATGTAAAAAAAATCCCGTAATGTCCTATGATTTTGATGAAGAACAATTAGGGGTGTGCCCTAACAACTCAGTTCTCAAATGTAATCTTTTCCCTAATTATTGTCTTTGACTCTGTTCAAGATTAACCATTTATTTTAGGATCATCTTTCTATAAGAAACTAAAGCATTATATGTTTTGTGTTGATGTTTGTCTTCTAATTTGTAAGTACATGGCATCAACAATTTTCTTGTAAAGTCTTTATTTGCATTTGGAAGTTCTACCTTTGCAATGTTGTTGAAATACAACTTTGCAAGACAAAATTTGTTTTCTCATGAGGGTCCTTGTGTCACAAATTGTTTCTTATCGGTACTTTATCTTTTGTTCAAAAATATTGTTTATAATTATTATATATAAAATTAATTATTTTTAAATTCATTTTACATTCCAATTTTTTTTATTTATATTTAAGATGAGAAAGCCGCAATGACTTCCCCCATGCGTGACACATCTCTGAGGATAACACAATTGCTGGTCATATCTATCACACTACGAGCCATCAATAATTG